CAAATGTACCCTGTGTTTCCCTGTCATTAAAGCTATGCTGCATCAGTATGTTCGTCTAATGTTTTCTTTTTTCACCCTTTTACCTACAAAGCACTTTTTGATTATGAAACGCACTGCCATGAAGCCAGCTGGCAGCTGAAAACTTTCTGTCTTAAGTCTTTAAGAGACCATCAGGCTCCTTTAGCTGGCAGCAGTAATTTGGAGCAGTGGCAAACGTTGCACCCTGTGACACATTTCAGGATTCATGCCGCTGAACTGGAATTCTGCTTCCTGACGATGTATGATTATCTTACCTTCTAGCTGCAGAGCTACAAAATGATTGCAAACAAATTATCTAATTGTTTTCAAATTGAGCCTGTTTCTTCATTCATATTATCATTTTGCTTGGAGCTGATGAGTTTCTTGTCTGCAATCATTAAATAAATGACAGATTAAAATTCCTTAACTTCTTTAAACACTGGAAACTTACGCAATTGCTTAATTGTGTGACTATCCTCTAATTTAATTTTTTTTCTATCTCTAGAAAAGCCATGAATTAAAATTTTTGTTATTGCCATTTTCACCTTAGCTTTAACAGAGATAAAAGTTAGATTTTCGAAGTGGCACCAGGAATCTATGGCAGGGACATTCTATGTCTTGGCTCTGCTAATAGCCCCTGTGTTTCAGTTCATGCTTCCTGACTTTCTGATGAATGATCATGTAGTTCAAAATGAAGTATATTAAAAAAAAAAAAAATCTTTCTTTAGTTCCTGATCTCCCTCATATGTTTGCCAATTAACATCAGATGGAGTAGATCCAGGTTTTAACACATCTTTAGCATTCAATAGACATCTCTTGAAGATTCGCCCATTGGTCTCTTTGCATTTCTACTCCCAGCAATAGCTACAGAAAACAACACAAAGCATTATTTCTGGTGTCGTGTCACTCATCATTTCTTATGAAAGTATTTCTTGCATACCCCTGTGATATCAAAGCACACTATGCTGTCATATAAATGCAGCTCTTTGATGGGGTCACAGTCAAAAGAAATTCCTAAATGTCTTCAGGAATTTAAGACTGCAAGTTCAAGGTGACAAACCTCAGAAATCAAGTAAGGCTTATACAGTTGATTTTCTTTGGTCACCATTCACAGTCCTCAGAGAAATGTATTTTTATATCGGTTTGCATTCTTTAGGCACTCCTGAGAACATATTTAAGTTGCCCGAACCTCAGACATCTTCAGGGAACCATGATAATTCTTATAAACTGATTCTAAATGAAATATGGTAACAGAATGGCTGAACAGACTCCTTCAGAAGAGAAGAGCTGGGCTGTACCACAGAGCATAAAATGAAAAACCTTTATGAATTTCCAGTCTTCAGCTGACCGTGTCTCATCCCTTGTACTTTTTTTCCCCCTACATTTTTCCCTATCAGCCAGGGAGAGATAATATTAAGCAGTCTGACCTTTTCTGAAAAGGGCTTGTACATGTGGTATTTTAAATCTCATCCCTCATTTGACATAAAATGAAACAGCTGCACTGATGAAAAATGATTTATCTGAGCATGGTCTGTGGGAAGTGACAGTGTTTGCTATCTGTTTATACACCAGCACAAAGTATTGTGTCATCAACTTCAGAAATCTCTGTGCCCTATGGAGAAGCAACGCTGAACTGTTTTGTGTGCTTAAATTCTGAATGCTTCATTCAGCCATCCTTTTCACAGCACCTTTTTTACTTAAGCAATTACTATCATATTACCATAAAACCACATAATTGTTGCTCACAGGCTATGTAGCCAGCTCTCAGAAGCCTAATGAGCTAGTGGAAAGGATAGGACCAAAACAGTCTGGCAGAGAAAGAAAAGCTGAACAAAATTTGATGATGCAGGAGGATTTTAATACAAACGGGAAATGGGATACACAGCAGAATGAGATGGCACACAACACAAAGCAGGCAATTCCTCAGTTCCAGGGAAGGGCACAGCATTCACTGCCTACAAAGAGTCCATTTTCAACCAGTTGTTCTCCTCCTGTCACAGTTTAATTGACAATCTCTGTGTCAGGCCTTTGAAATTATTTTTTTTCTTACATTGGCACAATGAAAATGGGGATCTAGCATTGTGAGATTTAACAAAAGATGTTGTTAAGAATAGACAAAGTGAAAAATACAAGAAAGAGGTGTGGATCTAGTTTTCAGAGGTACTGAGCAAGGGTGGCTCCCGTGGCTGATGCAATGGGCTTTCACCATCTCTGAAAGCCATCTCAGCTACGGATCTGGATCTTGCATTTTTGTCTCCAAAGTTGTTGTGTGGTCTGCAGGTATCTAAGCTGCCTTAAAATGAGCCACAGTTTCCAAGGCGGGATCCACAGATGCTGCTATAGGACCGCCTGCTGTAACAGCCCCCCAACCCTGAGGAGCCTCCATACCCAAAGGAGCCCCCAGAGCCAAAGGAACCTCCCATCCCTGACATGCCCCCAGAACCAAAGGAGCCCCCAGAGCCAAAGGAGCCCCCCATCCCAGAGTTCCCCCAGCCATATGTGGTCAAAGCTCCATAGGGCTGGGGAAGCGATGTTCCCACAATGCTCTCCTGAGGGCAGCTGCTGAGAATCGGTCCTGGGAAGGTGAGGACGACCGGCGGGGCGTACACCACGGCTCTGGAATCCCCACACGATGTCACACAGGGCTCAAGGCTACTGCTGCAGGCATATGGCTCAATGCACGTCACCTCACAGGTGGGCAAGCACCGGGAGCTGATGTTGTTGTAGTACATTGTTCTCAGGGTTTGAGGTGAAGCTGGGAAAGACAACATAGTCAGGAAACTATCACGGTCAGGTGCGGATGGGTATCCATCACACACATGACAGCAATGGGGTTAGGTATGCAGGCTAGATACTTGTTCATGCTTCCTATTCCTCCCCCAAGTCCTCCTGTCCTGTGATCCCTTTTCTTCCTCCCCTCTTGCCCCTGTGGAGGATGCCTAGGACTTCATTCATTCAGGAGGATTTAGCTTTATATTTGCACCTCATGTTTTGAAAGTTGTAATAAAAAATAAAGTAACTCCTAAAATTCTCGACATCTTATTGCTAAAATCACAAAATACAGACACAGGAAAGAGTCCTCATTTAAAACTATCACTACAGAGGCATGATAGATAAAAATTATTAACTTAAATCAAACTTACCTACAGCACCAAGACAGGTAAGTCAGGAGAAGTTTTTAGCAGACTCCTGAGATGTTCCTGCTTTTATACCTTTGTGCAGGCAACTCTAAGGATGTGAAGCATCTCATAAAATCTCTAGCACTTACCAAACTATGGCTTTTCTTTTCTGGGTGACTCCTCTAACACCTGTAATTATTTTCATGGTTCCTAATTAGTAAATCATCCACAGACCTACACAATATGACTCTCATATAATAAATTTGGGCTTTGTTGAAATTGTAGAGCCAAATTCCTATGCAATATCATTCTGCTAACTACACTGGATTTACACTGAAACTCCTTACTATTTTTGGCTAATGATTTACCAAGAAGGGGCCTCCAGAAAGATCAACCCTTCAAGACTGCTTTCCGGAATCGCCTGACCCCAGTGCTGAGCAACATGAGATACTTTTGAAGTTCAACCTCCCTTCTAAGTTTGAGATCCACCTTAGAGTAAAAAGACCTGGTGATCTTTGGGTATGCCCTTGCAAGCGGCCCCACTGGCATCCTCATCACAAGGCTCTAAGCGTAACAGCCCAGAGTGAATTTTGATACATACTTGGTTAAAATTACTCAGAGGGCTCAGAGCTTAAAGGAGATGTCATGTGTCACTTCAATCCCATTTATCTGTATTTTGAAAGACTTTTTGCAGGGCCTTGTCCTGCGCAGTGCTCAAGAGTAATTTGTGAGGCCTGATTCTGTCATGGTGCTGTATCATCCATTCCGTCAATAGATACAGGTGGAGTTGCAAAGAATGCTGATCCCCCTCACCCCCATCTGAGGTGGGGTTGCATGATTCCATTTGGGAGGTATTATACCTAATCTAAGGCTTACAAATAAATTGTGGGACTGACACATCAGTAAGCCACCTTCCTTAAAGCCATTAAAGAGACGTAAACAGAAAGATCAACTCCTGTTTCAGTTGGAACCAGAATGATGCCTGAAAGATTTTTTTGATTAAGTTTGAGACAAAAGGAAACTGCTGGGTGTTGGATGCCTGTCACTCAAAGCAGGGCTGTAAATGGATTGCTAATTATGAATTGAAATGAAAACAATTACAAGGCTTAGAAGAATATCTTTTTCTTGGTAAGTGACAAGAATTTAGTGAATAATGGATGACCTCATATCCTTCCTATTGTCTAAGAAAATATATAAAAGGGTAGAGAACTAAGAACTATTCTATTCTTCCAGCTCCACTGACTTATTCCTCCAAGCCAACAGGGTAAGTCTAATTTCATTGCATATCTTTGTAGCTATAGAATATGTAAAACTTACTTTTTTTATCTTGCAAAATACTAGCAATTTTTGAAAAGCTGAGGTAAAGAGAAGAATGGATTTAGCAAGAATTCATAGCAAAGCTGGGCTAAAAGGAAGAACGGAGTTAGGAAGTTAGTTACTTTCCTCTGGAGACTTCCTGAAGTTACAGGCAAACCTCCTTGTAGGTCTACTTTGAAGAGATTGAATGGGACTTTTCTGAATAACTGTATGAGAATCAAGCAACTTATTCCCAGAGAAAGGAGCAATATTTCTGAGAGATTCAGAGGAATGTGGATGGTAAACAAAGGAAGAACTGAGAAGTCTTAAAAGGGGTCAGTCAGGAAGGAAATAGCAGGGGAAAATGGAGACTGTGAGGGAAGGTTAAGCTGGGTGTTGATGAGCAGCTAGAGGAGAAGGACAAGATGCACCTGACTGTGATGATTTCCTATCTGCATGTTGTCTTTCTCAGCTTCATCTCTACTCCCCAAGAACGATGTTGAACAACGTTAGCTCTGAGTGCTTGCCTGCCTGTGAAGTGACGTGCACGCAGCCATGTGCCTACAGCAGAAACCTTGAGCCCTGTGTGACATCGTGTGGGGATTCCAGAGCCATGGTGTACGCCCCGCCGGTTGTCCTCACCTTCCCAGGACCGACTCTCAGCAGCTGCTCTCAGGAGAGCATTGTGGGAACATCGCTTCCCCAGCCCTATGGAGCTTTGACCCCATACAGCTCTGATGATTCCTATGGGATGGGGGGTTCCTTTGGTTCTGGGGGCATGTCAGGGACAGGGGGCTTGTTTGGATCTGGGGCCTCCTTTGGGTATGGCGGCTCCTCAGGAATTGGGGGTTCCTTTGGCTCTGGGGGCTCCTTTGTTTCTGGGGGCATGTCAGGGATGGGGAGTTCCTTTGGTTCTGGGGGATCCTTTGGGTATGGAGGTATGTTGGGGATGAGGGGTTCCTTTGGATCTGGGGGTTCCTTTGGGTATGGAGGCTCCTTGGGGATGGGGGGCTGTTACAGCAGGCGGTCCTATAGCAGCAGCCGTGCATCCCGCCTTGGAAACTGTGGCTCATTCTAAGGCAACCTGAATACCCACACAACAGCTTCAGAGATGAAAATGCAAGATCCAGATCCGCAGCTGGGGCTGGCTTTCAGAGATGGCGAAAGCCCGTTGCATCAATGGGAGCCGCCCTTGCCCAGTATCTCTGAAAACTGGGCCCACACCTCTTTCTTCCATGTTATGCCTCATCTTCTATCAATAGCAGTTTCATATGATGGCTTCTCTCCTTAAATTCTTATTAGTTTTGTTCTATGTCCTTTCTGGTGGAGTGGAAATGCTTCAGAATTTGTGAGTGGGACTTTGCTGTGAAGATTTCAGCTTTACCTTGTAATGTGCAGTGTCTTTTATCATCGACACAGATGGTCTGGCTGCTTTTGGACTACAGAATAGACCATTAATGAACTGCACCATTCTACTCTGTAGCACTTATTTCGTGTCATATTAAAAGTCTTGTTGAATCATATTACTAGGTTGCTGGTTTTCCTTTTCTTCCATTCGGCTTTACAAACTAGTTTTAGTGAAATTGAACTGTGGGAGTCAAAATAGGAGGTGGAGTTCCATGGGAAGTAGAATTCAATGGCCTCATGCATGGCTGCATAAAAGCACCAATCTCACTGTTCTTTCTGTGCAGGGAAGTATTTCCATGCATTTTAGTGGCTGAGCCTGAAAGGAGTCATTCCTGAGTACTCATTTGAATTTGAGAACATTTTGGATAACATGGCTTGCAAAGGTTGAGTGATAATTGTACCTACATTCAGCTTCATGCAGTCGCACAGTACTAAGAGGATCAGAGTCAGTGATTTTGAGGCTGAGCCAGGTATGTCTATATAAACTACCAAACACGTGACTTCAGCAAAGGTGATGCCTCACAATTTACAAAGGAGAGTTACACCCCCACAGTTCTTACTCAGTAGGCTCAGGAATGAAACATTGAGTAACAAAAGCGAAAATTGCTGGGGCATTGCTGCCACAATCTTATCTGCGGTGCTCTAGAGCAACATCAGGCGTTCCTCAGCTGACATTAAAACTGGAGTCACAACAGCTAAGTAACTCCTTCTGTACTTTGAGACCCCAGTGCGTACACACACAGCTCTGCACATGTCTTCGAGCAGCTGAAAAAAACAATTCTGCACTAGGAGAAAGGATTTATACTCAAATAAAAGCAATCCTGCTTTTTTAACAATCTAAATATGTTATTACTTAAATCTGTGGATTGTGATCTGACTCGCAGAACATCATTACTTTGCTTGATAGGCTTCTTGTAAAGTAATGCCATTACTGCTGGGTGATATAATTCAAGTGATATTATGCTAATGTTATGGTGCAGCACACTGTATGCATAAACCCACAGTATGAGTAGAGCTATTTGAATATTTCTCCTAAGATTTTCCAATTGAAATTCCTGTTTCATCAAAAGGCTTGCAGACATATTATCTTAGAGATCTGTGTAGAAGATGTCAACGAAACCAAAAATCCGAAAACAGATGCAAAGTTGTGGTGGAAGAATCCGTTTCTCAGGCAGTTCTGGCAATGACTGTGCATGAGGCACTTTGTGATCCTTAATTCTGAGAGAGCACAAGGGTGTCCATATAGCTGTTGCCTCAGGGATCTCATGGTGATGCTTAACAAGCTCAGATCATTTACTGCATAAATGCTTCAATTAAGTTAACAAACCACAAGGATTAAGACAATCAAAGGAAGGAAATGAATGTTATGCTTGGCAAAGCAGCACTTGCTCAACCTACACCCCAGCCCTCTCTTGTGAGCAGCAGCACAATAGAAAGGGCTCCTAAAGAAAAATACTGGTACAGCTGCTGCGGTGAATTTCTCAACTTACTTCAAGACACGTCACAGGGTGCAAGACTTGTAGTCTGATTCTCAATTGCATACAGATAACTTCTTCCCATTTCTTTTGGCCTGCCTGCCTGCAATACTCAGTTCTAGGTTAACCCATTTCCCTTTGCAGTCTGTAATCAGATAAACTATTTTACCATCAAGACTAGATAAATTGCAGCACAACTTTGCCTTTTGATTAAGTCACAACACGTGCAGTCATTTTAAACTCCACTGAGGGTTAAAACATTTTCCTCAGGGATATTCAAGGAATGACTGGTAATGACCCTGAGTAACTGACCTACCTTCAAAGTTGCCTTGGTTTGAAGTGGGAGATGTACCAGGCCATCTCCAGAGGTTGTACTAACCTAAATTATTCTATGATTCTGTTGTAATTAGTATGTTTGCCATGGTATATATCAGAAAGGGGAAAAAAATACTCTAATGAAGTATTTCTGAAAAATTATATTGGCCATACAGAGGAATTAATTCTTCTCTGATGATAGTCCTTGATTAATGCATAATAATTGCTCCACAAAGTTAACTTCTTTCAAACTGGTTTGTAACTAAGAAACTGCAGCAAAATGAAAGCCAGAAGACAGTGCTATGATGCAACAGGGCTTTAATACAAACAAGAAGTGGAATACATTCTTGCAGAATGAGGCAATGCAGAGATGAAGAATGTAATTTCCATTTCAACAAGCACTACAATCAATCAGTCATTCAGAGGAGCACAGGGCTCACAAGACATTCTTCTTTCAGCTGGACGCTTCACAGTCAAGTCCCATTACTTGTTTCACTCTCTTCAGGTTCAGAAAGAACAAAATATAACATGAGCAAATAACAAAGTGAGGCAACATTGGGATCGTAAGCCTTGGATAAAACATAGCGCAAGACATCCCAAGCAATCCCAGCTCCTACTGACACTGGCTGGAGCAGAGGCTGCTTGGCATGTCTGATTTCCAGGTCTATATGTCAGCTACTAGTTTGTATCTTATTGTTCCTTCAGTCATGACTCTTTCTTAAAGATTTAAAATGGCCCATAGTTTCCATAGCGATACCTATAGTACCCTCTGGAATAAAAGGGGAAATAATTTCTACCAAATCCTGAAAAAAACGAGTTTCGGTAAAAGCTTCCAAAACGGGAGATTCCACCACCACACGAGCCCTCCCCACCGTATGAGCCCCCTCCCATGCCACCACAAGAACCACCTGAACCATGGGAGCCCATCCCATAGGAGCTGCCTCCACCACAGGAACCACCAGAACCCATTCCTCCACCTCCAGAGCCCATCTGACCCTCTATTTGAGGCTCGGCAGTTCCCACAAAACTTTCCTGAGGGCACGAGCTGATAATGGGTCCCGGGAAAGTCACGACAACGGGTGGTGCGTACACAATTGCTCTTGAATCACCACATGACCTGACGCATGGTTCGTTCCAACAGTCGACGTATGGTTGCGGGCACGTCACTTCACATGGTGCAGCACAGCGGGAGCTAAGCATCTGTCCATAGGAAGACATCATTCCAGAAGGCAAGTCAACCTGAAAGGCAGAGAGTACACTAACCTGGTAAAGTTACAGCTGTTACAGCCAGAGAAGTGAAAAAACAAAATGTGTTTTAGTCACGTGGGTTGTGTAGATGAGTCGAATGCTATTCATCTGAATAGATCAGATACGTATGTCCCAGCCATACACTAAACTTAGGAGTTAGTGATTTAAAAAAAAATAAATAAAAAAATCACCATTTCTAAGGCACAGTCCATTGTACTCTAAAGTAGAATTGTGCATTACAAATCTCACCAAGCAAGCAAGATGAATTGCTGGGTAGACACTTCTAAGTCTACTCTCACTCCTCTTGAGTGCTCCATTGCCCTAGAGCCTATTCCCAAAATCAGTCCTGAGAAGAATGTCTCTGTCCTTTTCCCACATCACTGCCTCTGCTGTATTTTTTTGTCTGGGAGTCGGTCCTATCCTGATAATGTTTTTGGAGTGTCCTGTCTCCATACATAGATGCTCAATTCCTAGGAATTGCTACCATCCACATTTCTGAGACTCCTGTTTAGTTTTTTCCCCCACACGTGGTGATGTCTAGATCCACCCTATTTGCAAGTAAGCAGTTTCCAAGTAAAATGCTTTTAGAGAATAAGGTTCTACCCTAAAATAAGGTAGGATATATAACCTCATATTAATGCTACCTATAAATCCACATCTATAATTATGAACTGATTCAGTTAAATCAGACTTACCCAGTCACCAAGAAGAACAAGTCATCAGAGGCAGCTACGGAGACCTGAGTTATGAGGTCTTTTATATGCTGTCATAGAGAGTAGAAATTGGGAGATATCTTTACGCAACCGTTCTGTACACCTTGTGAAACAGAACGTTTTCCTCTGATGATGCCTTCCTTTGTTGCAACTGTTTTGATAATAGCTTGTGATTATTAGATAATTTCCAATCCCACACAGCACAATGCGCGCACTTCACCTATCTTGTCTTTTCGCTGAAAATCACACAATAAATTGAGATTGGTTTTCTCTTAAATACTTGCTAATACTTATAAAGGTAGTTCAGAGATGGATAAACTGCGTGCTGCTAGTAAGCACAGGATTCCAGTTTATCATTTGTCATCTCAGGTAATAATAACAACCAGTAGTCTTCCAGATTTTTCCTCTTTAAAGTAGGAAATCTTTTTACATTAAATAGCCATTAGTGTCCATGGCCATTGTGTACTCACTCCAGGGGCTTTAGGACTGGAGTTTATGGCTTGGGACTGTCCTTAGGACAGATGTTCTCCTACATGACTACATCATGTCCCAAGTAAGTAGAAAGTCAGAGATACCAAAGCAGTTCACAGGCTCTCCTGTCAGCACTAGGATCAGGCACAATAATCCAATTGGAAATCCAGCTAAGGAGACGTACCTGTCCAAGCTTTTACAATTTATCTTCCATTCCTCATCTCAAGGAATCATCCCCTTCCAAGGTGCCGTTTAGAATAAACACCAAAAAATACTAGTAACTATGAAGAAACTGAATTCTCCTTTCTGAGTATGCTTGTTGGAGGTCAGTATGAGGAGAGGAACAATATATATTACCTGTGGGACTAGAGAATCCAGAGGAAACATTACCTGAAGCACACGTCCATAACCTCAGCTAAAATAAATTTGCAAGGCCTGACAAAGGCTGA